AATTTCAGCATATCGACGAGGTCGGAGAAAGATAAGTAGGACAAAACCGAGGTAAGACAGCACTTTTGGGGATTTTGGGAAAATTACCAGGTCGGAGAAAAGTAGGCCGGACAATCTAACTACACCCACCAGGTCAGAGAAAAATAGGTCGGACAATCTCAATAGACCCCCTGAATCCGCCACTGGGCAAACCCGCCTGCACCTGCGTCCTGCGTCCTCTCTGAATCACCCGGTACGCGGGAAGACTCCTTCTCCGCCTTCTCCACTGCCTCCCCCTTCCCTACTCCCCCGCCCCTGCATGGCTCCCCCACCTTCTCCCACGCTTCTTATCGAACCCTCAACTCAAAACGATGCTGCTGACGTCCATGCGGTCCTCCGCAGACTCTATCTGTCTCATGCTGGTCATCTAAATCTACCGCATGTGCCGTAAGCACTTGAAAATTTCCACTCTTTTCTTTGTTAAAAATGGCGTTTAAAAGTTGTCCGAAAGTTTGTCTTCGATAATTCTACTTCAGCTTGTTTAAGTTGTACCCGCTCTCTCTTCTTCTGGTAGCTAAAGCACAGTAGACTAGACTTTTCTGATGGTGACACTCGCGTTCCTGATATCCCCCCCAACTTTCTTTTTATACCATCGTGCAGGTGGCCTGTTGCCACTCGTTGTGAAAATGTGTATTTGGCGAACCGTGAAACAGGTATTCTCACTTGAGAGTGCGCTTGCGTCGGCTGGTCGAATGATGCGGGAGACTTCTTCGAAAGCGCTCGATTATTGCTCAATCAAACACGAATCAGTCCCCGCTATCACGGCCAGACTCTCACGCTTCCCTAGATCGATTACTCTTCCCCATTCGCGAAACAGTTATCGCCTCCCAGATGTCCCACGAGTAGAGCGCCTGAATCAATAAAGACTAGTCCTGAATAATTATTCTGAGATGTGACACAACCGACGATATGGTCAGGCATGGGTCAGTTTCGATTGCCTAGAGACTGCCAAGTCAGGTGTAATCTTCGCTATGTTTTCGTTCTAAAAAAAATAAAAAGCGTCGGGGACAGAGTCGGGCGGCGGGGGAGAGGGGTGGGGGGAGAGAGGAGGGAAGAATGGTGAGTGCGACTACAGGCAGGGGGTATGGTGTCAAGGTGAGTTAGACGGACCGGGCCGCGCCGGAGAGGCCACGCACCTCCCACCACCACCTGATCGTGGAGGGGAGGTCCCCGCTGGAAGCTGGAAGCACGCCGAGGCTCCAGGAGTCCGCCGCACACGGGGATGACCCGACCTTGCCGACCGGCCGGCGAGCAGTGCGAGAGTGTCGGGCGTCGCGGCTGGTCCAGCGCCCAGAGAGCAGCGTGCGGGTCATCGAGTGCTCCCGGGTCGGCATGGCGCGCGTCCGCCTCGTGCTGGCGCTGCTGGCGGTGCTGGCCGCCTCCGTCGAGTGTCAACAGCTGGACGGGCTCGCCGCCGCCGCGGCCCAGCTTCGCTCGCAGCTGTTCACGGTGTTCACGGGCTCGTCGGGCGCGCGGGCCGTCCTGCGCCGCCAGCTGGAGTCCGCCCGCGGCCGGCTGCGCAGGTCGCCGCCCGTCCCGGAGCCGCCGCCCAGCACGGTGAGTGATGGCCTGTCTGAGGGGGTACTTCACTGATTAAGAATCAGTGTACACGCCCAGAAAAATCAGGGGAAAATATGAAAAAAGGGAAATTCAATTTTAAAAATCAGAAAAATACAGAAAAAAAATCAGAGAAAGTCAAAGAAAGCGAAACACAAATAAGAAAAAAAGCACAGAAAAATTGGTATCGCTTTTTAGTGAAGGGCCCCTCAAAATAGCCCCACCGTGCATCCGAGGAGAAACTTTGTGAATAATTCTGTGTTCGAACTGGCAAACCTGCTGTCTGTTCTCCAGACGGCGTTGTGCAAGCAAAACGGTCACTCGGGCTGCGAGCGGCACGAGGTGGCCACCCAGGACGGCTACCTCCTCACCGTCGTGCGGATTCCCGCCAGCCCCGGGGCCACGCCCGTGCTCCTGCTGCACGGTGACCTGGCGTCCTCCGACTCCTGGATGATGCGAAAGGACAACTCCAACCTGGGTAGGTACTAGGTAGCGGTGCCCCGCCCGAAGTTCCAGTTGGTTCAAGGCAGGCCGGTCGGTGCGAAGCGAGGTTCGACCGACACTCGCCCGGGCGCCTGCAAGATAGGCAACCCATGCCACGCGAGAGGCGGCGGGTCGCCTACCCGCCGGGCGACTCTGTGCTGACGGTGTGCTTACTGACGGTGTGCTCGCAGGGACGGTGCTGCACGAGGCCGGGTACGACGTGTGGCTGGGCAACGTGCGCGGCAGCACGCACTCGCGCGCCCACCGCACCCTCAACTCGAGCGACCCGGCCTTCTGGGAGTGGAGCTGGCACGAGATGGGCATGTACGACGTGCCCGCCATGGTGGACCACGTGCTGGCGCGCACCGGCGCCGCCTCCCTGCACCTCATCGGCCACTCCATGGCCACCTCGTCCATCCTGGTGTTCCTGGGCGAGCGGCCCGAGTACAACGCCAAGGTGCGCCTCTCCAGCCTCATGTCGCCGTCCATCCGGCTGCGCAGGGGCATCATCCGCACCACCTTCACCCTGGCCTCGGACGGCCGCGTGCGCGACGGGCTGCAGGTGAGCGGACCCGCAGGAGATTCCCCTGGAGGTGCCGTGGGGTATACGTGCGTGCTGCAACGGGGACTGTCTGACCCGCAGAGCTACCTCACGCGCAATCAGTTCCACGAGATCTGGCCGCGCTCGGACCTGCTGCACTACATCGGGGACATCTTCTGCATGGACGACTCGCCGTTCATCAACATGTGCTACGCCATGTACGAGGAGGTGCTGGGGAAGGGCCGCGCCGACCAGCGGCTGCCGGTGAGCGCAACGGCGCAACGGCACGCACAGCGCACGTCCGCCCGCGTGCCCGCCCGCGTCCGCCAGACAACCTCGTCTCTATGTGAAACTGCATGAATTGTTAAACGTGAGCCTTTTTTTTGCATGCTGCAGGACTACTTGGCGACCTTCGGGGCGTACCATCCAGGGGGAACCAGTTTCAGGTGCATCAAGCACTTTGGCGCGACGAGCCAGAGCGGTAAGTAGCCACACGCCGTTGGTATTGCACCATCACAATATGCGCGGCGTCTCCGGTCATAAAATTCGAGAAGCGCATTGATTTATTTTTTTAAATGTTTATTCATACGACCTCCATATGTTTGTTTACCTCGCACAAGGTGGTACCGGTAGGTTTTTTCTGAATGGAGGAACGCAGGCAAAAAGATTAAAGTCGAGCTGTGACCGTGCGATACCTATGGACCGAAATCTGTTTGTTTGCTAACAGGTCGCTTCCGTCCGCTAGCCAGCCCCAACGACCCGAACCCCCGCGACTACAATCTCACCGCCATCTCTTCGCCCGTGGCGCTCTACTACTCGGCAAACGACGGCATCATCGACCCCAAGGCGAGAGACTCTGAGAGGCGTGAGGTGTGTCGTTTTAGATAAATTCAGGTGAAGTGAGCCTAACGCTGTCGTGCTCTAACAGGACGTCGACCGCCTGGCGCGAATTCTGCCCAAGCTGCACGAGAAACACGAGGTGCCGCTCAAGCAGTTCAACCACGTCGACTTTATGTGGGCGAAGGACGTGCGGAGCCTTGTCTACCAGAGGCTGGTCCGGAACATGAAAGAGGTGGACGCGAAGGTGGTGGCCACCCAGGAGAGGACGGCGAACAATATCATTCGCTGACGTGCGGGTAATTTATCAAAAGTCTGAACCAATGTAACATTTACTTACATTTATTTGTGTGCCTATGTTAGTGGCTAAGTTTAAGGCTGTGCTTCACAATCGTAAATTCACAATCATAATCTCTCATCATCATGCAACTTAAGACTAAAAACGCCCCCGGACTTATTTTGTTACGATGCTTTTTCTCCAGTCGGGCGTATCGTCAACTCAGAGATCTGCAACATGAAATGTTTCAAATATATACATTGTTGAAAAGTAAGAGAGTAATAATTTAAGCTGGGTGTGGATTTGAAAAGACGAGCCTCTGGCCTCACCTCGACTGAGCGCGGGCAAGATAGCACGTAGCAAACAGCGTCGGCAACGTCCTTGGCCTTCAGGACGTCCTCGACGTCTTCCAAGCTGTTGACATACTCCCCGGGCAGCATCTCGGTGGCCACGGCTCCGGGGCTAATGCTCTGGAACACATTTATACGCGGGCATGAAGGGTGATTCAGAGCACGCGCCGCTGTCGGCGGGTTTGCCTACTCTGTCCGCCCGTAAGGCGCCATAGCGCCTAGGGTATGCAATCCCGCAACACGGCGGCGCATGCTCTGAATCACCCGGAACAAGCAGTCGTTATAACCCTTTTTTGAACTGAAGCTTGAACGGTGCAGTGAGTGGCGTGCCTCGGCGTGGCGGTTAGGTCGTTCCATTTTCGGTGTCGAGAACACCGATCTGTCCAGAACGCAGGTAAAATGAAAGTTTACGTTGTGGAGGTTACAACAATGCTAAGCGGAGGTGGCTGCGATGTCGGGAACCATGCGCAAGAACGAATTTTATGTCTTTGTCACTTTCGCGCCAATTTTCCCTCAGGGTGGTTTTTCGCGTGCCCCGCCGCAGCTGCGCGGCCGAGGCCGGGGACCTGCCGTGCACGGACACCCTAGGGTAGGTACTTGAAGTTTGTCATGTCGCCGGTACCGCGCGGCATCACGTTACGGTGGGCGTAACGCTTAAGTAAAAACCAGTATTTTCGCTGCAGCGGTGCACACATTCAGCGAATGGCGACCGGGTTTGTGCGATAACGTGGCAAATATTCACTGTTATGGATGGCCCGACGCTAATCTATAACATTTACCGGCATCATAGGCAAAAGTCAAAAAAACACGTTTTGCGGCAATTCCGCCTGCCAACTAGGCAACCTGCCGTCTTCATGTGTGTACAGATGTTGCCTAGTTGACAGGCGGAATTGCCGCAAAACGTGTTTTTTTGACTTTTGCCTATGATGCCGGTAAATGTTATAGATTAGCGTTGGGCCATCCATAACAGTGAATATTTGCCACGTTCTCGCACAAACCCGGTCGCCATTCGCTGAATGTGTGCACCGCTGCAGCGAAAATACTGGTTTTCACTGAAGCGTTACGCCCACCGTAACGTGATGCCGCGCGGTACCGGCGACATGACAAACTTCAAGTACCTACCCTAGGGTGTCCGTGCATGGCAGGTCCCCGGCCTCGACCGCGTGGCCGCGGCCGAGGCACGCGAAAAACCACCGTGAGGGAAAATTGGCGCGAAAGTGACAAAGACATAAAATTCGTTCTTGCGCATGGTTCCCGACATCGCAGCCACCTCCGCTTAGCATTGTTGTAACCTCCACAACGTATACTTTCATTTTACCTGCGTTCCGGCATACCGATTTAAAAATGGAACGCCCTAGTGGCGGTGCGTATGGGGCAGGCGGCGGGCTATCAAGCACGCGTCACGTCACGCACGCGACAAGCATCGGACGCGTGTCAAGCACATTGCCGTGGTAAAAGGAAGCATCGGGCGGGTAAGGTAAAGATTAAGGTGGATTATGGTAGTTGGTCACGTGAAAAAGTCCGCCACTATACCGTAATCATAGGGGACGACTGCCGGCCGTGCCGTGGGCTACTTGCGACGGACTGCGCGACGGGAGAGCTAGGGCCCAATGGAAACGTTTTACTCACGATACCGTCATATGACGTTTATGTGACCTAATTGTGATCTCACACATGTGCAAAAGTCGTGACCTCCGTAGTTCACAATGTGGGTCACAAATACGTAATCGTGAGTTAAACGTTTTCCTTGGGGGGAAGAGCAACTTGCCTTAGGGGCGCCTGGCCAGCTGGAGCGGAACTTGTCGAGACGACTATAATATCTATTCAGTTAAGATTTTTTTATTTTTTTTGCACTTACCGTGACTCGGATTTTAAAGCCCTCCATGGCTTGAACGTCGTAGCGCAGGCCTTTGCAGAAAGCGGTAATGGCGTGCTTGGTGGCGGCGTACACAGTGGTGGAGTACTGCGGGGACATGTTTAAGACGATATGTCCGGCAACACTGCAATATGGGTTAAAAATAACAAACATTGGAGAAATTACAGTTTTGTAACTTTTACTAAACACAGATAAGAGCTAAGAGCGCCACCCCGCCCACCTGTTGATGTTGATGATGTGCCCGTCCTTGATGGCGTGTTTCTTCATGCTCAGCATAGCCTCCCTACAGCTCAACATTACGGATGTTAGGTTGAGGTTGACGACTTGCTGTACCGTGGAGACGTCTAGGTCTGTGTAAGGGGGCAGCAAAATAACTCATTGAAAAAAAATAGATTTGAACACGTTCAGTGCCGCGTGACCACAGTGTGGTCACGCTTCAGAATTTTTTCCCAATCCCCTGGAGAATGCAGTCGAACTGAACGTGCGGGAAGGAAACCGCAAACACTCACTTTGCAAGGCCACGAGGGTGAGCACGGCGGCGTTGTTGACGATGACAGACACGCCTCCCAGGTTGTCGTCCACCCACTGGTACACCCGGCGGATCTCGTCCTCGCGCGAGAAGTCGGCGGCGATCGGGTGCAACTTGCCCTTCTCGCTAGCCAGCCGGGCGGCCAGTTCCTGGAAGGGCAGGGGGCGTCAGTAAACCAGTAAACGCTCTCGAGGGAGAAAGGGGGGGGGGGGAAGCAGCAAGCCCGACAGCGCGGGGGTGAGGTGTTGCGTCAACCCTGCTAATGGCGAAGTCGCGGGGTAGGTGAAGCCCACCCCCCTCCATGCAAGGACCCCCAGGAAATCTCCCCGTCGTACTCACTGTGAGTCGCTGCTGCCGCCGGGCGACGCCAACCACCACGACGCCGGCCTTTACGAGCTGCTCGGTGATCTGCTCGCCGATGCCGGAGCTGACCCCCGTGACGATGGCGACGCGATCCGCGAAGCGATCCATCTTGCTGTGGTTGTCGCTGGAGCTGCTTCTCGTTTCGTTTTCCTGGACCGGCTCACGCGGAGGCAGAGCGTGGACTGGGGACCCGGCTGGTGGCCTGGCCGCGCCGCCGCGCCGCTGCTCGGGTGTGGACCGCACAGACCTGGACGTCCAGAGCGGTCAGACCGACCGGGGGCGGGGACCTCTCATCTGCGCGTCAGCGGGGCGGCCGTTGGGCCTGGGTGGGGTGCCCCCCGAGCAGATCACCCCGTCGCCCCCTGCGCCCCCCACTACCTCAGCCGCATGGCGCTAGGCCTCTTCCTGCCGTGGGTAAGAAGTACAGTAGGTGTGTCTCGGTGGCAGGCGCACGCGACAAGCGACAGCGCCCACCGAGGTTACTACTTTGTGCGCGGGGTCCACCTCGTTAGCATGGCCGAGCTCGGCGTCCCGCCCCGCCGCCGGCCCCTCGCCCCCCGCGGCGGGAGATGCTGCTGCCGCTGATGATCCGGTTACTACCCACTCGCGTTCGAGACACGAGTCGCGCCGCGGCCGCGACCTGCGGGGACTGCCGGCCCTTGCCCCGCCCGCCTTCCCGCCACGCCACGCCACCCCTCGCGGTAAGGGCAGTAGTACTGTGCTATATCCAGTTAAGAATTGGTCGTTTTCACGCTTAGCGCAGCGCGCACTCACGCCGGCGTGAGGCGGGCGAGGGGCAGGGTCGGCAGGGTGCGCCGAGGCAGCGGCGGAAGAACTGCTAACCCTCTTTGCCCCCCGCTTCCCCTCTCGCCCTATGCGCACACGCCAGCGTGAGCGCACGCTGAGCGTGGAAACGACAAAATTCTCAACTGGATATAGCACTGACCGACAAGCGAAAGTACGCGGCGCGGCGCGGCGCGGCCGGACAGCACAGCAGCTGGCCGATACGACCCAAGTCGGGCGCGGCGCGCGCGGGGCCAGGCCCGGGTCGGCCCGAAGTCAGTGTGAAGCAGCGCGGCGCGGCGTGGTGCTGTACGCGCGGTGACCTACGCCCATCGCCCCGCGCCCCCTCGCCGTCAGTGCGCCACCGACCGAGAGCGCTCCGAGAACCCTTTGAGGTCGCGGCCACGCATCGCACGCTTGTCTACGAGGAAGTGGCAGTCAGCTGATCGCTCGTCGCGGCGCCCGCAAGACCGGTAAGTGTCGGCGCGGAGGGCGTCGTCGTCGTCGTGAGGTGTCGCCTTCTCCGCGCGGCCGCGGCGGCCCCGCCCGGCACCCAGGCCGCGTGACCCGGCCGCACAGCTCTCTGCACCGCCGCGGTGGCGTGTATTGCTTTGGTTTTTATCAGGTCGGCGGCCATGACAGTGACGTCGCTGCTGCTACCGCGGCTGCCGGGGCGGTGCATCCGGGCGCTCGCCGGCCTGACGGCGACGGCGGCCCCGGCGGGCCTGCGCGCACGCCCCCTGCACACCAGCGTCGCCATGCGGACCGTAAGTTTAGAGACCCTTGGGTCGCACGGAAAAACAATGCGTTAAAAAAAATCCATACACCCTTCTCCGGAAAATAATAAGAAACGACAAAAGTACGAATTGAGTGATTGACCCGCAGGCAGTGTTCCGGCGAGCGGTGGGCTTCGCGGCCAACACGGCGCTGCGCGACCGCCACGCCGAGTACACGTACGCCGGGCTGTGGCGCTGCAGCCGCCTGCTGGCCGACAAGGTGTCCGAGTCGCTGGAGGGCCGTCGCGGCCAGCGCGTCGCCTTCCTGTGCCCCAACGACGCCTCCTACGTCATGGCCCTGTGGGCGTGCTGGATCAGCGGCCAGATCGGTAAGCGGGCGGGGGAAGTCCCATCATCGAGTATACCTTCTCGTCACGCACGTTTCACACCTCGGTCCACCGAATGCCGCAGCCGTGCCGCTGAGCCCGCTGCACCCCGAGTCCTCGCTGAAGTACTTCGTGGAGGACAGCGGCGCCGGCCTCCTCATGGCCACGCCCTCCACCGCGACGCGGCTCGCGCCCTTGGCCGCCGGCCCCGACTCCGCGGCGAGCGCGCCGACCCTGCTGCTCATCGGGGACGACCTGCGCGCCGCGGCCGCCGCCGACGCCGACCCGAGTGCGTGTCGCAGAGGTGGAGCAGAGAGCAGGATATGGCGTTCGAGGACCACTTCGTCACCAGGCCGCACGTTTCTGCTGCGCAGGGCTCGACGGGGAGGACCGCGCGGCCAGCGGGAAAGACGACGGCGCCGACGGCGCCATGATCATCTACACGTCCGGGACCACCAGCCTTCCAAAGGGTGCGCGCGAGAATCCCATAATGAGCTGTTTCTCTTATCTGAGAGGAGTGGATAACGAACGTGGTGTCCTGGCTGTCCGTAGGCGTGCTGCTGAGTCACGGTAACCTCGCTGCCCAGGTGCAGGCGCTGCTGGACGCGTGGCGCATCGGCCCCGAGGACAACGTGCTGCACGCGCTGCCGCTGCACCACATGCACGGCATCATGAACGCCTTGCTGTGCCCGCTGGCCGCGGGCGGCAGGTGGGTGCGCGAGTCGAGTGGCCGCCCGGCGTCGCCGCCACATCTGTGTCCTGATGAAGCCGCTGTTCCCGCCCTCCAGGATCACGATGCTGCCCAAGTTCTCGGCCAGCCAGGTGTGGACCGAGATGCTCAGTGAGCAGCCCGGGCGCGTCAACGTGTTCATGGCCGTGCCTACCAGCTACGCCAAGCTGGTCGACGAGTACCACGCGACGGTGGGCAGCACGCCGGAGGGGCGCGACCACGTCAAAGACACGACGAGGACCAAGATGAGGCTGATGGCGAGCGGGTCGGCGCCGCTGCCGGTGCCGCTGTTCGAGCGCTGGGAGCGCATCACGGGCCACCGCCTGCTCGAGCGTTTCGGCATGAGCGAGGTGGGCATGGTGCTCTCCAACCCGCTCGAGCCTCAGAGCGAGCGCCGCCCGGGCTTCGTCGGGAACCCCCTGCCGCAGACGCGAGTGCGCCTCGTGCGGCCCGCCACGGACACGCAGCCGCGCGAGGAGATCCTGTGCGAGGGCGACGCGCACGGCACCACCCTCCGCGTCAAGGACGGCAAGCCCACCGTCGGCAACCTGCTCGTCAAGGGCCCCAACGTGTGCACGGGCTACTGGAACAAGCCCGACGCCACGGCCAAGGAATTCACCGCGAATGGCTGGTTCAAGACCGGTAAGTAGGGGACGGTGAGCCAGAAGCCTGGGGGGCTTTCAAGACGTCATCGATAAAGTTACCCCAACAGGTAAAATACCACCCGCATGTATCGAGGCCTCCGAAACACTTGTACAGCGCTGAACCCTAATTGAGGCCCGTAAACAAATTATGTGTACCATAGGTCCCAACCTGCCCCCCTAAAATTGACTTGTTGCACATGCAGGTGACACGTGCGAGTTCGTGGACGGTGCCTACAAGATCCTGGGCCGGACGTCGGTCGACATCATCAAGACGGGGGGCTACAAGGTGAGCGCCGTGCAGGTGGAGACGTGCCTGCTGGGCCACCCCGACATCAGCGACTGCGCCGTGGTCGGGCTCCCGGACGACACCTGGGGCCAGAGCGTGGCCGCCGTGGTGCGGCTGCGGGAGGGCGCCTCGGACACACACAGCCTGGACCAGCTGCGGGACTGGGGCCGCGAGAGGCTGCCGCCCTACTCGCTGCCGAGGACGCTCCGCGTCGTGCCGCAAGTGCCGAGGAACCCGATGGGCAAGGTCAACAAGAAGAGCCTCGTGGCGGAGTTGTTCCCCGACGCCGACAAGTCTCAGGCCGCCTGAGGCGGGCTGACACACACACTGTCACGGATTGGGGAGGAGTCCTTTTACTTTCACACAGACACAGTTTGATCAGTAAAATGTTTTTATTAGGATAGAGGAAAATGCAAGGAAAGGGGTACAAATTAATTATTAGGCAAGACGTATGGTTGTATAACAAGGGATTTTTCCCACAAAAATTTGACATTATAACTAGATTCAAAAAGTTGACATTATGAAACTGTTAAATGTTGAAAGTAAGAAGATTAGGCTCTACTGAATGACTAAAATTATATCACAGCTTCCAGACACAAATGAGGCCCAGTGCAAGAGGATAAATGATTATAGAGGACCCACAACTTGTCATAAGAAGCAAAAGACAGACACTGGACTATACTCAATATCTTAACTGAGATCAATGTAAATTATATTGCACAATAAGGCAATATGGAAACAGTATTAAGTACAAATTTTCTCCCCAACAAGGATAGAATCCTACAGTATCTTATATGCCTATGTGAAATGACTTTATTTCAGACCACACAGGATGGTCGTCATACGAAAGATAAGCAAAGGAATGTTGTATTAAAAGTAAAATGCTGTTTTGTGATTTCTAGATGTTGATGTTTCTAGTCTAAGACATTGATAAGACTGCAGTCAAACACAACCACACACTGTACCTTTAAAATGGATAATAAAGAGATATGTCGCCAATACACAAATAGAAGTAGGGGTGTAGCAAAACCAGAGACATAAACAATGCGTTTTGGTATTACACCAAATATTCTGTCACATACCTATAATTGGAGCATTGCATTAGTGATACTATTTTTCGTGCACATTGCATTAGCAAGTTATTTCGTTTGTACAAAATATAACATTTGTTCAAAATGATATGAAAAGCAGTAATAAACTTAATTGACAACATTTCCCTCATTTTGGCATAAACAAAACTGGGAATTTGTTTTGGACTGAATAAGATATCTAAAGAAATTGATTATTAAAACACAACATATGTACAGCACACTAAATGGCCAAAAATAACTGGTTACAGCTTGCATCAAAACTTGCCTAATAAACTTAAAACTAATCAGTTGTCTTAATACTCCAATCAAGGTTTCGTCTTTAAAAAGCTCAAATCACATGTGTATAGATTAAATTATACTTACAAGGTATGGGTAATGATGTACTACTTGTGTAACACACAGTTGTAGAACCCCAGATATTTTAACATTTGTTTAAAATATAACAAACTGACTTACTAAAATGAAAACCATACAACTTGACATATTTTTAGAATACATGTGTTAACAAAAAATTGTTGGAGTTGGAGAATTTTTTTATTTATTTTTTTTGTTTTGTGTTGCTTATGTCCCTATTGCAAAGCACGGATGGCTCTCCAGTGCTGGCGAAATCACGCAACTCTGTTTAGGGATGATTTTTGAGACCTATACTATTGGAAAGAGGAAGTTTCCGTCTATCACAATATACAAGTTGTCTGAAAATGTCAAAAAAAAATAAAAAAAAATACTGATACGTACCTTGCGTGGTTTTACCAGCGCCGCGCCAAAGCGCCGAAGCGCCGTGTGTGCTTTACAAAAGGGACAAGCGGTTTGTAACAAGTCGAGCTTCAAATCAAACTTAACTTTATCTTTTCCTGAGCGTTTGATCAATACCATAAGAAAACCAATCAAATTGATGAGTGGTTTTGAATATGGTAGAGCCAAGATGCACAAACTATTCTTATAGCTGTATGAAAATACTAAATCACATTATAAAATGAATGTTGACATGTTAGCACAATACAGAAGGGGTAATCTCAAAAATGTTACATGTTAATATGTAGTTGATCAATAGGCAGACTGCACCCTATGTCCAGCGTAGGGAGAAATAATAACTATTCTAAATACAGTACTTCATCACCTGAATCCAAAACTTCTCAAAATTTCCAGAGTGCTACAGGTTAGCAACTTTACACTGCACTAATTCAGCAAATTCTTTATAAAAGGGCAAAAGCTCAATATAGATTTTCCTCAATCAGCAGTAAGCTTAACTCCAAACTCACAAATAAATATAAAATAACATTACGTTAATTGACGTGAAACTTATTTAACACATTGAAGAACAATGAGTATCATCCCCCATAAACTGCAAGTTTCTTTACTATTCAGCTTGGATAATGGTCCTGGAAAATACAGCACCACATAAAATTTTACTTACAATTTAATTTGTGCGTAGAGCACTCTACTTGGGTGTGCTGCATCTCAGTCTGACCCCGCTATTCAGCTTACGAAAATTAACAGTCTGGGAATGGCACTTACTCCGGCTAACATTAATATGTGTTTTAAACATATTGGTAGTTTTCTTTGGTGTTAAGTAATGGGTGTTCTGCCTCCGCACCCACATGAAATGTCTTTGACCAATCTGTTTGATCTGGGTGCAATAATCCAAAACAATGCCAGCCAAAGAAATCAACTAAATTTTGGAAATATCCTCTATGGAATGGACTATGGGAGACACCTCCCTGCTGAAAATGTTGATAGCGCCAATGGTTTAATCTTTCATTTGTTGTCATACCCAAAATTACAATCTGATGAAAGAGATTTATTGTGTTAGAACAGATACCAATGAAATGAGAAGTTACCACAGCACATAATAGTATGTTAACAGCATGACACATACCTGGTAAGTTTGACAACCAAGAAGCAAGAACACCCAAATAGCATGTAGGAAACAATTGAATGTGATCCACATGACCCATGCATCACACTGGGCAGAGGCAATGAGGCCTGAAACAAGTAGCAAGGTATAGTTTAGATGTAGATATGATAACGCAAAACATCAAAATTTATTTTAAGTGAAGGAACTCACTTCCGAAAAATCCTGAAGACGACGGTATATCACAGGCTTTCTGCCAATACTGTGAAGCACCATAAATCATAAAAAAGATCATAACTAAAAGCATGATCAAATAGCCAATAAAGTGACGATGATTTTTCTCTCCTACAAAAAAATGAAAATGAAATTTAAGTATTATCATTATTTTACTGAGGTGTCAGTCTTTCTAGTGCAAAACCCACTAACAGTTCAAAATATGAAATACAAACCAATACAGTTTGAAACCCATGGACAATGATGATCATGTTTGGCAATGCAGCGGTCACACACACCACAATGCTTCGAGCGAAGAGGTTTATGTACTAGACATGAACTACAAAAGGAGCGGGAGTCAAATCCTCTTTTTTCGGCTTCATCAATGATGAGCTGGAATAGAGAGGCAAATTTTATATACAGTCCAAAAATATCTTAATCTATGAGCAGTATAGATTTACCCTGAATTTCTCCTCTCTTGTGCTTGACACAATACCCGGATCACCTTTCCAAACTTTCAAGAAATTGTACCAAAGAAGTATAGAACTGATAAGCATAGCAATGGTGGACCAGATATTTACATGAGGCACTATCCAAACCAGCCATGTCATGTAAACCCAAAACTGGAAAACACATCAAATACAAGAGTAAAAAATAATAACTAGGGTAGTACACAGTCGTACTGAACAGTGTCTATAGTGTATGAAAATTACCTTTGTTCCAAAATAAGTTGCAAGGGGAAGAACAGTAAAATATTTGTCGTTACACACGTAAGGGCGTGCAAAATATCCAAATACATAACTTAACAAAAGAATAACACACTTAATTGGTACTGGAATTGATGACTGAAATAATTGTCCAATAATAAAAATGCCTGAAGCTGGAATAAGACCTGTGATCCACACCTTAACTTTCTGGAAACAATTAGTTATATAACACATATTTTAGTAAATTTTGGTTATGAGTACATATGTTTTTCTTTATCCAAAGCATGTGAAATGTTACCAAATTTAAGTATACCTTATTTTTAGTAAGTCGATCACATGTAGACTTTGGTCTGGAATTTCTCTCCACCTCTTCCATTTTTTCCAGCACTTTCTCACTAAGAAACATGTCTCTATTTCCTTTAAGTAGATCATAAGGCGTTTGTCCCTATATAAAAAAAGAAATTTCAGTTGACTATTAATGTAAAAAAATAAAGAACCGATCTTTGAATAAAGAAAATTAGGTATGTGGAAATTTGTAGTACTAAAACTTGGGCAACTCACAGTATTATTGCGGGTTGTGAGGTTAGCACCATTTGTTACCAATGTTGTGACAGCAGTAGAGTTGCGTGCAACTATGGCCCAATGAATTGCAGTGTTTCCATGAAAATTATCTTGAAATGCTGAAGATGCTCCAAGAGTTAACAGCATACGAGTTGGATCCAGACTAAAATAAGGACAATTAAAATTATTTTGTAATTTAAAAAAATAACAGAATGAAGTAAAACATATCCTTAATGTATATGAGATACATTAACTGCCAGTGGTTGTAGGAATCAAACTGTCTAGAAAACTGCTAGTTCTAATGTTTAGATTGATAGAAGCTGTGTTTGCAATTTACCAAACTACCAACATTTTTAATGAACAATCTATGAGCTAAAGCAGTGCATTGTTATGCTTCACAACATATCTTGCTACAAACTTGTACACTGCTCCATTCACTTTGAAAAACTAAAAATGAACCACAAGCTAGAAGCAAAAAGCATGATTGCTAGAGATCAACCCTGAAAATAATTATGCAACATAATCATTACTTTCCCAAAATCAGATTATATACCAAGAGGCCACTCAAACAAATCCCAAAGTTAATCTGACAACTAACAGTGTGATGGAACAGAGATGCCACAACTGTTATTTATGTAACTTGTCAAGGTGACCAAACTAAATATTTGACTCCATTATGTTGTTTTCTGAATGGTAGGATTATAGGAGAACAGAGCCAATTAAATTATGAAAAAAGGATTTGAGGATTACAGCTCTCAGGATTTGAACAAACTAAAACAATGTTTTTCTGTACATAATTGCATTTGTTCCTCTAAAAAAAAAAAAAGAGAAAATGCTTTAGATCCTTGTGATACTAAGGGCAATAGCAAGGTAACAGAGAATTACTTCGTGTTTAAATATTTGAATTGCTGCACAGCAGACATTTTCCCATGAATGTGACACAGTTGTGAAGAGACATTTCTGCGTGGCAAGGCAACAAACACAAGGTGGCAGCACAATAATTAAAATGGTGTTCATTACCGGGAGCTGAATCCCACAATGTCCAGAGCGCACACATACAAAGAAAGTATTAGAGAAAAATTTAAGTAATAGATTATGTTTGATTTTTTTAAATGGCACAATGAAAAAAAAAAAAAATTTAAGCTCCACAAAGAAAAATTTTGAAAGTGCTTTTAAAACTATGTAATAAGATTCATTGGCAATTCTTCATCTACTTCAGACAAGATGCACTGCACTGTGTCAATAAGTTAGGAGAAACACTATAATAAGTAGTTAGAAAGAAGGTTCCCCAGAGGCCACTCTATTGATAAATGATGGCACACAAACTCAGGTGAAAAATTTTGAATCTTAGAGGTTGGGCAGCTTACAAAAAATTATCTACAAAATTCATCCCAGCATAAAATTGACACATCAAAACTAAACAAAATAAAACAAGTATTTTATAGAACAGTAAACTAAATATAGACAGTAATTCAATTACAGTATTGCTCATTTACTCAAAAACTAATATGAATTGTGCAAATTAAGAGAAGGATAAATAAGATACCATTACATGAGTTGTTGTCATAACCAGTGAGAAAGAAAAAAATAAGCAAAATCTGTATTGAAACTTAAAATTGTATTTGACTTTGGGTGACTTATATATGAACTGGAAGTCCAGTTTGATGTGTCATATTTGTAAATTGATAAAGAGTGTAATGTGGGGAACAACAACCTTGAACTTGCGCACCTGGTGACTCGGTATGCGCTCCACATGAGGGGTGTCATTCCACCTCGATCTTGTCCATCCATGTTGGCGCCCTTAGCAATGAAATATGCCATGATCCCTGCAAATCCTAATTGGGCAGCAATGTGAATGCACTGCAGTCCATCACCATCACATATTAAGGGATCTGCACCATGTTGCATCAGAAGCACTACAGCTCCCAAATGTCCTGCCCTGGAATTTTAAGTCACAATTTTAACGTTGTTCAAATTTTAAATTAGAAAATATTATCTGGAGTCGTAATCAATCATTTTCTAGGCTAAAATAATATGGCAGATTCCATACTCCTACCTTGTTGCCCAATGCAGAGGAGTGGCCATCAAATCCCCACCAACAGCATCAACTAGTGCCCCACGGGATATGTAAAAGCGGATTATTTCTTTACGATTATTGATTGCAGCCCAATGCAGCAGAGTCACATTTTCAGTGTCTCTTTGATTTATATCAAAACCCTCATCAATAAGCTGCTTACACCTTTCTAATGCTCCATTCTGAGGCAACATAATTAAATTAGTTGTGGAGGAAATGGTCATGATCTTAAAGGTATACCTGAAAAATTTGCAACACACATACCTGAGTAGCTTTTATGATATCCAAGTTACTATAGTCCACATCTGAAGTCGAACCCTTGGCTTGTGGTACTTGCGGTACTTGCTGGAACATATCAGCTTGGGCATGTTGACAGTTTTCTCTCTCCCGCTTGAACAGGCTGCCCGGTTGACAGGCATCCTGTAATCGGTGTATCAGATAGGTCAGGCAACGTAGCAACTAAAACTCTAAAATTAATAATTATGAAATAAACCAGATGTTTTCTGTTAGACTCCAGTCATTTGATCTACATTATGACGAACTGAACCAACTGACGGGAACACTGTCTTCAACATAAGTGCTATAGAGCAATCATAGATACCTTATCATGTTTCCCACACTCAAAATCACTAGGTTATGGAAACTTAAAAAGGGTATCTAACAAAGAGTCAAAGAACGACATACCTGAGATACAAACTGGATAGGGTTGCAGGTCGGATCCGCCAGGTTGCTGGCTTTAATAAAAACTTGTTACGGTCGAAGGTAGACTACCGGGCTTCGAATATTCCCAACGAATCAAACAACATGAGTAGGTAACGATTTGCGGTGGAATTTGTATAGTTTGCTTGAAATAATCCCTTAGAGATACTGACGGTAAAATGCTAGGGGAAATAACATAGAGACGTAGATTTGACAGCGATGAAAAAACTAGTTCTTTTGACATTAACAAAATAAAAATAAAATAATGACAATGTAACAAAGTACCAAATACTGAAAATGTCAATACGTTTATTACTCACATACTCAAGACAAGATTCGTGTTAATTTGTGTGTTCAACAGAAATGTTGAGACTACCTCAATTGAAAAATTTGTGATGAGCTCGGTCTTCTTTCTAGCATACAAAGCCATCTCCATCGTCATACTTTAGACCAGTTAATTTTTCATCTCTCTGAAATAGCCTCACTTATACCATATACTATGTTTACACCGCGGAGGCTAGCGCGTGCTATGTCGGTGGTGGGGGAAGTTGGCCCCGGCGTAAACGGCGCGTGGCCAGCGGTGGCTAGCCGCTCGCTGGCACGCGCTAGCCTGCCCCCCTCCACCGCTCTGCTTGGTCTAGCCCCGGAGTAAACGCGTTTCGCCCGGGCTATCTCCGGCTGGACTTTTAAAATACCCGATATTTGTGTATTGCACTTGGCATTTCGGTGTGGCTTTCGTACCCCAACAGGAAATAATTCCCCTATTCGACCCAGAGCTTCAATTCTCACTATCCTCTTCAATATACCTTGATATATCTAAGATACTGTAAATATTTCAAAAATTGTTGCTATCACGTATATCCTAAAGATAAATGATGTGAGTAGTAAAGAGTTAAATATTTTACACCCGCTGATTTGCAAACCGTGTACCGGGAGAAGTATTTTACCCTAAAATACTTGGTTTGATCGTCGAGATTTGAAAACCGCGCTCTTTTTCATCAGCTGGCCCACACGGGGTAAACGCACCGCCGCCAGCCCGGGCTAGAGTCCTATATTGGGGAGAGACCCGCGAACGGAGGCGCTAGCTCTGATTGGCTGAGAGGGGTCACGTGGGTAGCTAATCCGCCATTTTGTATCCAAAAATTGCAACCCGTAAAAATTAACT